AGATAATGAGTTTTAGAAGATGATTACCTGCTGTGTTAAGCAGTACTTCCTTTCATGGGTTACAACAAGAAAAAGAATTAGGGATAAAACAGCAGAGAGGCTAATGTTGCTTTCACAAGGGACAATCTCATGTGTGGCAAGTGGAAGCAGTCTGTTGCCTGGAACCATAGAGTATTTAAGCAGAAACCATACACCAAGGAAACTTAATGATTTTAAGTGTTTCAGTTGATGAAGGTCACTCAACATGTAATTATGAAAAACAGGACATAATTTATGTTGGTTAGCATTACCTACTTGAAAGACAGTTCAAGTAGCATAGAATCCAATAATATTTTCAATCTGTAGGGATCAGAGGTTGGTAAAAGCCAGAAAAATCTGCTAAGAGACATTGAAACTAATACCATGGCTGTCTTAATCAAAAGGGAGGCCACAGACCCTCCAGAAAAAGAGACCAGCAATCCCCAGTGAACATGAAGATTCAGCCACTGGCTGAGGTACACTAAGCATCTATGCCAGGATCAGTCCCTTCGACTACAAATGCTTTAATTGCAATATGGTACCCTAGATTGATTCCTGGCATAGGAAAAGGGACATGAGTGGGGAAACTGGTGAAATCCAAATAAAATCTGAAGTTTAATTGATAGTAATGTACCAATATTAGCCTTAGTTTTGACAAATGTGGCAGTTACATAAGACAGTTACATAAGGGGAAACTAAAAGAAGGGTATACAGGAACACCCTGTACTGGCTTTGCAAATTTCTATAAATCTAACATTATTTCAAAGTAAAAGGCTTACTAAAATCAAGAGAAAAAATATCAAAGCAAACATATTGCATGATTCTTCAGGGCCTCTATGCTAGAAGTTAGAGATCAAAAAAAAACATCAAGAATTTTAAGAATCAGAATTCAGGGCAAAGGACACAGGAAGACAATTTTTCAGAGAGAACATACAAGTAGCCAAGAAGTACATAAAAAGATCCTCGACATCACTAGTCACCTGGGAAATGCAGATCAAAACCACAAGAGATCATCTCATACCTGTTAGAATGGCCATGATCAGACAGACAAGAAATAACCAAGTGTTGGCAAAGATGTGAAGAAAAGGTAGACTTGTTGGAGGAATTGTAAACTGGTGCCACCACTATGGAAAACAGTAAGGCAGTTCCTGAAGAAAACTAAAAATATAATTACCATCAGATCCAGTCATTCCTCTTCTGGATAAAGAGCCAAAGTTAATGAAATCAAGAACTCAAAAGAGGTGCCTGAACTCCAATAGTCATGACAGTGTTACCCAAGAAAGCCAAGATACAGAAACAACCCCATGACCATGAGTGGATGAACTGATAAAGAAACTGGCATTTGCACAGCTGAAAGAGAGGGATAAATCCTGAGAAAAGGATCACTAGGTAATCTAGTCACTGTGCAAACGCCATCGCAAGTAACTACCCCCAGCTGGATGGGTTAGCCTGCTCCTCAGTCAGACTGTATGGGAGAACCTGTTAGGGACGCCATCTAATATATGGTCCATCATCAATCGAAACATCATTGATATATGAATGCACATACAATGGAACATTTACTCAGCCTTAAAAAAGAAGGAAATCCTGCCATCTGCAAAAAGCATAGCTGAAACTGCAGGACATTATGCTAAGTTAAATAAGCCAGAGAGAAAAAGGAAAGAGCTGCATGATCTCCCTGTACATGAAATCTTACTGTAATTTTAAATGTTTTTCTAAAGATTTATTTTATTTATGCATACAAGAACTCAGGTGTAGGACAGAGGTATGGGAGGTGAGAGGGTTCACCAGAGACAGAGTGGGGAACAGCACAGACAGATATACTGAAATACACTGCTGAGGGAAGCAGCAGGAAAGACAGGAGAGGTCTGCTGCCAGGTGTGTGAACTCCCTGATCAGGGCTCAAACCCATTCCACAGTGGCTGGTAATAGTTTGATAGCATGAGACTTTAACCCCTGCATCACCAGGGAGCCCCTGGATGTGAAATCTTAAAGAAGTTAAATACATAGAAGCAGGAAGTAGAACAGAGGTTATCTGAAGTGGAGAGGTAATGGCAATGGGGACATGTGGGTCAGAATGTGATGTTGAAAATATGTAGGGTGATAAATCTAGAGAGTTAATGCACCATATGACTATTATTAATAATGCTAACAGACTGCTTAGAGAATACATCTCACTATAAAAAAGAAAAAGAAAAAAGGTAACTAAGTAAGGGAAGAACTGTTACTTTGACTATAGAAATTATTTCCCTATATATGCATGTATATCAAATCATGCTATTATCTTATACATACATAGTTTTCATTTAAAAAAAATGACTGGAAAAAAAATCAGAATTCAGTTGAATGAGAATTCCCTGAAAGGAATGGAATGGGGAGAAACGTGGGGAAAGCAGGTGTCAAAGCTAAGGAAAAGACAAGTGGCTACTTCTCATTAAGCAGACAGCCACTGAAGGGCATGGTGTGAGCAAGAGTGAAGACGGTCTACACTACACTGACCTATTAAAGTTATCTCATCCCAAAGATGACCGTGACCTTCCAAAAGACAGACCGCTGGAAGACTAGGTGCTTGAGTGGTGTGGTGAACATACCTCTGAAGGGGGGTGAGACTACTCCCCTATGTCACGTACAGTGTTCTATATTAATGTTAGCTCGATTAAGAAAAATGTTACCAAAACAAAAATTAAGTCATTGAAAACAAAAGAGAGGCTTCGTGGTGGAGCTAGGGGCCACATTCTGAGTTGACGTGTGTGCCTAAGGGCTCTGCATCATTTATAGAATATACCTGGAAGCCCCAGCTAGTCTAAGTGTGGAAGGAAAAGACTAGAACAAAACCTGAGGGTCCAACATAATACCAAAACACTACCAAGGTTTACCAAAACACAAAATAAAGTTATCTGGGCACTTGATCACCACTCACTGATTTACTCTAGTGGAAATAGTTGTTAAGCATAATCAGCAAGGGCATGCATAAAAAAAAATAATTCACTGCTCATTCAAGAAGATTACAGCGAGATAAAATGGCAAGGCAAGAGAAGATTAAGTACTTGAACTGTATTTAAATCTTTCATCTGCATCAAATCTTTCGAAGGGCAAAGAAAGGAAGACTGCAGTGAAAATATCACTAATTAAAAATGCTAATAATCCTTGAAGATTTGGGGTGGGGGAGGGTATGCCGAAAAAATTAAAAAAAAAAAAGAGCATTGTCAGAAGAAAGCAAAATTTTCAGGGCAGCTTCACAGAAATGTGGCTCCAATATTTTGGCAGGAGGTGAGAGAAATGCTCAAAATGGCTTCAAATGTACTCAAACCTGCCAACTGAAGATGCCCAAGGTGATAATGACAACAGAGCTCCAACCCGAGCATGGTTTGACACCCAAAAGGGGGTTCCACTTCCCTCCATTCCTAAAAATAACACACACGCACAAAGAGGCCAGCGGCTTTTCCACTAGCTCCAATCTGTGCTGACTACTGGGTCAGGTCATTAGGTCACTTTCAGTAGAGACTAAATCCAAGACATAAAACAGTTTTTTAAAAAAAACATCAGTTTGTAAATAAAACAAGCATTTTAGCTTTGTGGATAAGAAATCAGGTCTTTGTACTGAATTTAGTTTGTGTTTGTTGATTACAACGTGTTGTATGAATGAATCTATTGAATGTGAGTCATAGCTTCACATGTCAACTGTTAGCGAGGGAAGCAAATGAACACGGAGCAGGGTCTATAGTTTTAGTGCAAGCGTGGCCATTAGCAGAGCATCTTAGGCACAATGCACACAGCTGAGTCTTTTTCCCAAACTGCCAGGGAAATACCTAGGTCCATTTTTTTTCCTCTGGGAAAAAACCCGTCACAGGCCTCCCTGGTGGCCAAGGGGTTAAGTCACCACTATTACATCTATGGCCTAATTTCAATCCCCAGCCAGGGAGATGACCCACAAAAGGTGCAGCAGACTTCTCCTGTAACAGGGTGGTCCCCAGGAAAATGGGAAGTTCCAGGTTCCCTGCCCCACCCAAGGAAGGGTAGAGCACAGCAGGGAGGCGAAGAAGACAGAAAGGAGCCTGGGGAAGGAAGGAAGCAGGATGGGGGGCGAGGAGGAGCCCTGGAGGAGGCCCGGGGAACAGAGACGCCTGCAGAAGCTGCGCCTGCTTCTTGGTCCTGAGCTGGTTGAAACAGGTGCGGATGGGAGACCCAGGGGAGGTTGCCAGTGAGGCTCTCTTGATTGGATCTTGCTCTTTTCCTTCCAGACTTGCCTGGCCCCTTCTGCAACTTTCCCGTGGGTCCCCACCAGGAGATGCCTTAGATGTGGCAACCTTTCCAGTCTTAGAAGTGCTGCTTTGGGCCAGCCCTGTTTGGCTGGGCATTTATCCCCAAGGGGATGGGTAACTTCAGGTGCTTGATTTGAGAACTATATTCTTCCCTTTTCTGTTTGGTACACTGATTGTATTAAAGTTCCTTTCCATTGAAGGTGTTACATACCTGAGTATGTTTGGATGCAGTAGATAGCAGAACCTATTTAGAGTGGATAGGTTTGGATTCTGGGGTGCCCCTCCCTCTGTCCTGTAACACTCCCCTTAGCAGTACATTTCTGTCAATCCACCTGTCCTGCTCCCTGTCTGTCTCTAGTGAATCCTCTCACACCCCAACCCCAGCATCTCTGCCCTACACTCCAGTTCTTTTACACAAAAGATAAAGAAAAAACATGTCAAACCAAGTGACAATCTTCCAATTTCATCAATCTGTACCTCTAACTTACTGAGGAGTAATACTCGAAAGGTCACATGAACACAATTTGATAAATGATATATGGCAGACTTGTGCCAACAATTTTAACAAAGAATTTTTACTCAAAGTCAGTTACATGACTAGACTTTTATAGAGCTGTTGATAATGAGAGCCTTTACATATACCACTTAGACAAGCTTCTGTGGGCTAGGCTAATTTCAGATAGTTCTTAAGCATTTTCTATCATCAAAGAAACTACTTACAGTTACGAATGTTGTTCCAGTCGATCTTAGAGAAGAAAGGATGACAGCAAAGGCCTTCAAACTGCAGTCTCTCTCTCTGGCCACACAACAAACTTTGCATCAGATCAAGTAATTCACTGCTGATTTGGGGATCGTCCGGAAACTTCAAAAAGCGCTATTCCAAACAATAAAATAGTTATTTCTTAAGCAAATTCAGCTTCTCGGGTCTGAAAGTTAAGAAGGTATTTTTCATGTGTGCAAGTCTATTTCTTATTTTTTTAAAGAAGGCAGTTTTCTGTCCTCTGAACTTTGGATCAAAGGCATGTTCTCCAAATAAATGATCTGTTCACACCAACAGGCCTTGTCTCCTGGCAGGGGCTCCCCACCCCTCCCGACTGCGCCTCGCACCTCTCCTGCACCTCTCCTGTCTCATCTCGCCGACTCCCCATCTTGCCCCTGGCTGACCGACAATGATGAGCTATTTAAAGCTGCCTGAAAGAATCACTCTCTTGTCTCTGTCTCAAACGCCCTGCCTAACCCGCCTTGCCTTCCGCACATACGTCTTCTGCCCTCCCTCCCTCCATGTGCTCCCAAACACCTTTGCATATGCACAATAAATTCTGACTTCTGTGTGATGGCGGAGATCAAGGCAGAGAGCGCCTTCTCCTTGCTAATCACTGTGAACCTGGCAGCTGCCAGGAACCTTCAGCAACACACTCATTGTGGAGGGAGTGGATTGAAAAGGGAGTAAGTGCGCCCCAAGAATCATGTAAGGGAAAACTGGAATTCAGGGGTGACAAGAATAACAAATAATATACATATGTTAAAATATGTATAGTTGATACATTTAAAAACAGTATTAAGCACTCTGGAAAGATAAAATTGGGAGAGATTCAAGACTCTTTTCCTTTTGGCTGAAACTAAACCATACATTTTATCCTACCCTTAAGAAATGGGCTGAATATAGTAGCAAGCACAGTTACTCAAAAATAGTTTCAATTCTACTTTATATTTCCCATATATATTATTCATGCATTCATTCAATTCTACTATCATATTCAATAGCTAGTAGTAGTAAGCAGCAGTTGAGCACATATCAAGACCATGGGCCTCCAAATTAGACTCCTCTGTTATTTTGGGCAAGTTACTTAACTTGCCTTGGTCTCATTTATAAAATGAGAATACTATCTACTTCACAGGGTTGTTTGAGTATTTATTGAGTCAAATAAACTATATTTCATCAATGTGAAGATTCATGTCCACATTTATCAGCACTAAAATCAAAATGTATTTTCTCAGCAATGCAATCACACATTGATTGGCTCAGTGTTTCTTTTTTAATGGTACATAAAACAACAGCATAGGCTTCCAGTTTCTGGCAGCTGAGAGTCAATGAAATACAATTAACAGAGTGTCTAGGACAGCTTTTGGCACCAAGTAAGGGCTATGTAAGTATTTGCTATTGTTATTATGATACAATACTGCCAGTTTACACATAAACGCTCATGCACACCATGTTTAAATAACATTTTTCAATATTACTTTGAAATGCACTAATGGCTCTTTACCTGGAAATTCATGATGTTGCTGAAGGTTCTGGCAGAGGTGCCCTCAGTGAATGGGGACCTTCCATAAACCATCTCATAAGTGATAACTCCCACAGACCACCAGTCACAGGCCAGCCCATAGACGCCCTTTCCGTCCCCATTCATCACGGTCAGCACTTCCGGCGCCATATAATCTGGGGTCCCAATGGGGAGTTTGGCATTCACCTGGAAACCCACAAATAAAATGAGCACAGCAAACTTTCAATGATCCTCGAGTAGCTTGCCAACAGCTTCATTTCAGACACAAGCTATTTGCCACTGATTACTACTCTCCCAAGCACTTAGACCTCTGTCAAGTGGCACACTGTCAGGAAATGCAAAAGTTTACTAATTAAAAAAAAAAAAAAAAGCACATAATATTATAGCATCCAAAGCCAAATCAACGAGTTAATGACATGTACCCTTCCGTTACACAAATCAGAGTGGGATCTACACCTGGAAAGGAAGAGGGCTTCCTGGGAACATGTTACTGATAGGACAGAAGCGCTCTTAAAAGAATAGCATAATGATACTAAATCCTATTTAGAAGGTCAGCCTACCCATTATTGGAAGAAACTGGCAGCTAGCTAGCTGGCAAGCCAGTGTTAGAAACGTGCTGAGATTATTTCAAGTTTAAATATCTGGAATCGATATCGTGACTATAGCCCACCCACAGAGCAAGACATGATAAATACCTTCCACCCAAGGCCATATATTAATGAGCTCATTTTCCTCAGCACCCTCCCCCCACTCCTCTTCCTGTAGGTCCCTCTCCACTGTTCAGAGACCCAGGGTCCTCCAGTCCAATGGCCCCCAAGCAACTGACCTTGGCCAAGAAAGATTAGGACAACTTCGGTCTTTTCATAAAGTTAATAGAGCCATGGAAAGAACTACCCCTTTTGCTAAGAATGTGTCCTTTTGGCTGTTTCAGTGTTTAAATGTCCTGTTTCTTCAGAGAATGCTGATGACAGAGCAGGTCTTCTGCCCTTCTAGCACCCTCCCCTTAACGGACAACCTAATAATTGGCAAACTTTTTGGTTTTCAAAATTGTTTTGAAGTTTCATCAAATCATGAAATTTGAAGTCTAAGGGTCATCTAATGAATGTTCTTCCCCGTCAAAACAGAGAGGGTGTGACCATCACATGCTATGCTGAGCAGCTGTTCAGTCACTCCACATCTGAGTGGTTTCTCACACACTGACAGTCACGTGGTGCTGAAGTACTTCCTCCCCACTAACGGGTGTTAAGTACCCCTGAGTGAGTGCAGAGATTTTATAGGAATGGTTGCATCCCTTTAAGGCTGGGATCGATACCAAAACAGTCAATTCCCTTTGTTTTGATCTGACTGGGAACTGGGAGGAAAGTGAATATTTGGAGGGGCCCTTGGAAGGTCTCCCTGCTCCAAAGATGAAGGCCTGAGCTCTCCCAGCCTGTGACTTACTTCTTGTCCATTCTCTGTCGCCGCTGTTATAGGAAACAAATTCATCTTCATTACTCCTCTTCTCTCAAATCCAACCATAGATTTTTTCCAAATCCTAAACTCAGAAAGCACTGTGGCACAATAATTCCTAACACCAGGCAGCCATCGGTTTAGGTATTAGGATTTCCACTGCAAGTACCTACTTGGGAAAGCTAAGTGGTCACAGCACCCAGGAAACTCCCCAGGCCTATACTGATGGACAGAAATGGGGAGAAAGGAGAAAACAGTCTAAGACAGAATGACAGGTGCCATATGCCTGGAGAATAGAAAATGGCTTAAGGTAAGGGGGAGCCTTGATGCTGGGCAATGTAAGCTAAGATGCTGTCTTTGTTATATGGGTTCAGCATAGGATTAGCTTTAAACTACAGGGTTTTGGTTTAAAAAAAATCCTCAACACTGACAGTGAGCAGTAGATATTTTTTAAAATGCAAAATAGGAGGAAAAAAGACCATCTTAGTTTGACTAGACACTGGTAATGCCGCTGTATCACTGATTAAATGCTTACCCTTTACGCCTAATTACGCTAATTACTTGCAGGACTATTAATACACAGCCGTCTAATATGCATCATTTACACTTGTTGGATTTCTTTTATCATCAGGCTTCACTATTTGAGCATATTCAGCTCTCCTTGTTTGCAGCTCACAAGGTTAGGTCACTTGTTCCCAACTGAAGAGTTCAAAGAAACCTGCCTGGGTCAGGTTTATCAGCATGTCCCAGCCAGAAAGTACAAACTGTCAATGCCCCACTCTCAAACTAATATGATTAGCCTCAATGAAGAGAGTGAGGTAACTCCCCAAATAATGCTTGCCCCAGAACAGTATGATTATACATTTATGGCCAACCACTTTGTAATATTCTAAAATTTATTAGACTAGAAAGCTATAAAAGGTTCTACAGTACTTGTTAGTAATTAACAACAGGATTTTAATAACAGCTACAGCTACTATGCCTCCATTAGTTATTGACCTCCAAGCATATTAAATCTCTTTCACAAATGATCTCCCACGTCCTAATAAGGCTCTCACTCTCCTCTGGTAGCAATTCATGGCAGTGAGACAGTGGAAGTGGGACATGTCTAGGCACCAGCCTGCCTGCAGAACACACCTATTGCTAAGCCTTAACTAATTTTAAGAGTATACACTGATTCAGGAGGAGACAATGAGATAGAAGAATCGGTCATATATTGGGACAAAGAAGGGTTAAAAAAAAAAAAAGGATTACACACTGATGCTTTCAGAAAGAAAGCAGATGAGAAGTTAAGAAAACCAGTCTCATTTTCCCAATGCCCTTCCCATAAAATGCTTGAACATAAAACTATTTCAACCTAATATTCCTACTGAACTGGACATACCCTGCAAAAGGGTGGGAGTGGGGGATGACTCTGCTGTTGTTGTTCTGCCGAGGACAAGAAACACAGTCTTTTCACTTGTACATAAATCTCCAAAAGGGCTCTCTCCTATGGTTTCCCACTGCTCAGTGGAGCTGATTATACTTAACATGCTATTGTGCTCTTTATTTACAACAGCCTTATAATTGTTCCATGAGAGCTAAGTGAGACAGGCTGGACTGTTAGCTGTTGGCCATTCTTTGAGAGGCTAATAAAGTGAAGTGGGTGACACACACTAAGTCACACAGCAAGGCAACGGCACACCTCAGCTCAACCCACTGAGGGCCCACTGAGGTCTATGAGCAAAAATATTCCAAAGAAACATTCTGTGTGAGAAGCCTGAAATAGACAATGGAAGATAGACAGCTCAGATTGATAAATGCCCAAAATACATAGATAACATTTGAGGGTGGCAGGAGAAAGGGTTGATTTTGAGTAAGTCAGAAGAACTTCAGAAAGTATATATTATATTTTATGCAACACATTTGGAATACCAAAATTCCATTTAGAACTTACTTTTGGCCCATAAAGTTGTCCATTTAAAGGAACCACATTTTTTTTAAATAATGTAATTGTTTATTTTTACATCATTTTGTGCCTTTTCCCATCTCAGTTGTAATAAAGAAACCACATTTTTAACTCACTACTACTGATCCAAAATTATAATCCTATATCCAAATGTGACTTGATCTGAAGTGCAGGTTATCTGCTTTCTTTGTGATTAAAACAAAGCTAAAAACTCCTTCTTATCTGCTTGTCATGCTCTAAAGTCTAAAAGCACAAAGTTCAGGAGAGGGGACTCTCTCTCCAAAAAGAGAAGAGAAACAGTAGTCTCAAGTATGTAAAATTGAGGTCATGTCTTTTTGACCAAAATAGTCAAGGGTTGAGGTTGAGCTGCAAAAATATCTGAGTGCCTCAGGGAGGTTGCCCACCTGGAGTGAAGGCTGCTTCAGTTAAAACGGAAAAGGACAGTCTAAAACACCGAAAAACAGAATTCTGCAAGGAATATGAGTCTCTCTCCGACAAGGGCTGGGAAGACAGTGAAGCCACAGAGGGAGACAAGGCCTTCCTCCCAAGTCTCACTTATTTGCCAAGCAGAGACTTTGGACGAGTGTTCTGAATAGATTTTCTTATTGCAGACGCATATTTTCAGCTCTAATTCATTAGTTTTCTGACACGTCTCAAATCTACTGCAGTGGTTCTGGTCTAGTGGTGGATTTTGTCTCCCAGGGAACATTTGGCACTGTTTGGAAACTGTTTTGGTTGTTACAGCCACAGGAGGAGGTGCTGTTGGTATCGAGCAGACAGAGACCAGGGATGCAGTGCAATGCCCTACCGTACTCCAGCCGCTCCCCACAGCAAAGAGCTGCCCACCCCAGCTGCCAGTCTTGCTGAGGTGCTATTATCAAACTGTAAACCTACTTTTCCATTTGTTTCTAGATGCATGAGCTTATTAAGGTCATTATTGCAATACATTTATGCTTTTGAGTGCAAGATGGTAAAACTTTGCATTAATAGTAAATTTCTTCTGCACTTTTTTCCACTAAATTTCTTAAGTTTTCCTGCGCATTTCTGAAATGCTCATAATTTTTTCGAAGATAAACAGGTTTAATTCTATAACCTATTTCTTAGTGCAATGATTCAGTGGAATCATTGTAAGATCATAATCTGAAGAAAAAAAAAAAATGGGCACAGGGGGCCTATTTTTCCAAGGGCCTAAACGCCAAGGAAATTATGCCAAATAGATCTTGTGTGTGCAGGGTAAAGAAGCCAGGACGGACAGGAGTGATACAGATCTATAACACCCCTGTTTCCTCCAAGGAGCTTGAGAGAAGAAAGCACTTTTCACATGTTGCCCTTTATAGAAAGAACTATACTCTCAGAGCTGGGCAGTGATTTCAAGTAGTAGCATCTTTAACTGCTTAAATTTGTGCATTTTAACTAGAATCAGTGTTTTTTAGAGAAAGAATAAAAGGTCAAGTTCCTAATAGCCTGTCAGGTCATGAAGTAATTCATTCAATAGCAAAATTTGTCTTAAAATCTAAGTCATTTTTTCTTAGACCTACCATTTTCTTGCATAGTGGACTTGAAAATTCACATTTTAGTATGCACCAACTTTATCAACAGACATTTGAAATCTATTTTTTTTCACTTGGTGCTCTTTTTCCTAAAGCAATTCTCACTCTTGATCTTAACAGCTACCCTCCTGCCTTCCTTAATTAGCACATGGAATAGTTTAATTTTTACCAAAGGTCTAGGACTTAGAATTGACATTTTGAGCACTTTTGTCCCTGATGCTTAAGGATATTTAGTTCAAATGCTCTGGTGATTAATTTCAATTTTGTTGCATAGGAAATAGAGGATTTGAGATGAAAGAGTTACATTTCATTAAAACATTTTAAAGGTAAGAAAGATAATGTAATAGAAGAAAGTCTTAAGGCAGGGAAAACAAAGTAAGCATTTTCCTTTTTTCACCAAACTTTAAAAATGTTCATAAACATGTTTTGCAGCTATTCATAGATAATATCTACAAAAGAGCGCCAAGGTCAAGTAAGTCTACAAAATAACTCTTGTGTTCCCACCCCTCTTCCAAACCAAGTCATTTGATTCACTAGCAGATGAAGTCTCCAAAATATGACTCAACTTTAACCTGTTAACCTAAACTTATGAAGACCACTGAACACTTTTTAGTACAACCTCCACTATGATCTCTTATTCTGTTTTATTACCGTCTTATTTGAGTTCATTTTAGCAGCTGATCCAAAATCCACCAACTTGATGTGTCCCGTTCGGTCAATGAGAATGTTCTCAGGTTTGACATCTCTACAAGAAAATCAGGGCCACAAATTAATATTGAGTTCTCCAAAAACAATCAGCAAGCAAGAGCTAACCTGGGCCAAGAATCTTAATGTCTGTATTCTGCTATCGAGACCTCACTTTGATGTATATAAATAGTATTGTAAGTATATGTATGTATGTGTGTGTATATATATAAATATATATAGTGTATGTGTATATATGTGTGTATATATATGTGTATATACATATATTGCAAAACAAGTTAAAAAAGAACGAGGAGGAGGAGGAGGAAGAGAAATGGAGAGGGAAGGAAGAACAATGATGGCAAGAAGGCAAGGAAAGAGAAGAAATGCGTGTTATTAGATGGATTATGTCTTCTAGAGACAGCTGTAGGAAAACTAAGGCCAATAGAAGCAAGGGGGTTTGCTAAGGTCATGTAGCCAGTGAATGGAAAAACTAAAACTCCATAGCAGATTTTGTGATTCCTGGTCTAACCATCATCCCATTCCCACATTCTCAGGTACATAATAAAACATCAAGTGAGCTATAAAGAAACACTTTTCCATGAAGGATTTTTGGAACATCTTTAGAATTACCGAGAGGTGCAGTCAGAAGCACAACTGTGGTCTGTCACTTCCAGAGTAAGCCAGTTCCCGCTGCAAATCAAATACAGTTTTGCTACCATATAACCTAAATAACCCACTCAAGTGTTCCCGGTCTTTTAAGCTATATCAGCAGATCTTACTAGCAAACATGAGAACATCATAGCCCGAGATCAATTTCACTGCTGAATGGGTAAGCTGAAATGTTTGCCATCTTGGAAAATTTACTTTCAACCAGTGATAGTTAAGACTGGATATAAAAATTGGATGGCACATGATCCTGATGCTAAAATCATTGCTACACTCACTCTATTGTAGAAATTATTGGGTATTACAGATAAATTCTCAGTATACGTCAATGTCTCACTTACCGATGTATATATCCCATCTGATGAACACTGTGAACAGCCAAAATCAGTTCAGCCAGGTAAAACTGAATCATATTTTCATCTAATTGGTCCTCATATCTATTCAAAAGTGATAGCAAGTCCCCGCCAGGCTGATATTCCATGACCTGTTATAGAATGCCAAAATTATTAATTCTTCACACTCCAAAAAAAAAAAAACTGACTGCCTCTATTAGATCTTCAAATATTATCTGACGTGTTATAATTACAATGTCTCCACAAAGCAATGAAGATGTGTGAGACATATTGTAAGTCACGTAGGACGAGGCTCCTGCCCTAAAGAAATCACACCCGTTACCCAAGAGAACCAATATAATGAAAAACTAGTCGTAGACACCATGCACAGTGCTTGCAAGGCAAGCTTGAAAAGTTGAATTAAATCCACCCACCACCCAAGTCGACACCTCAGGATCAGGGATATAGCAGAGACGGCAATCCCTAGAGGGTAACAATCCCTCCTGCATCCTCTGCACTCCGCTCGGCACCAGCAGAAGGCGGGAGAGGTGTCCTAACTGGGATACAATCTTTTCCAGTATCAGCTTGACTGTCCTTACTAAAAATTTAAATGTGAAAAATAATAATAAATACAGTTTTAAAATTAAAAATGTAAATAATGTACCCCTTGACCTAGCAGTTCCTCTCCTGACAATTTATTTTATAGGAACTTATAGTTTGCAGATAAATAAACAGATTCACCCTAGCACTATTTGTAATGGGGGGAAAAAACCTGGAAACCACCCAAATGTCCATCAGTGAGAGACTGGTTAAAATATCTATCTAAATGATGGGATGAGATGCAGATATTAAAAATGAATGGATTCAATCTATTCACACTGCCACAGAAAGCTGTCCCATGATAATATAAAGCAGCAGCCCTTGTAGGCTGAAGGACAATCCCTTTTTTATGAGAAAAATCAAATCATTACATCCATTGGTATATACATAGAAAAATGTAGAAGAATATAGAGTATAGCCTCAGGTAAAATATTTGATTAACAAAAAAAAAATGTTCTACCCCAAGGAAATGAAATCTTTCCTCCTTTTGCTGATAAGTGGGTGTGATAGTCTGAGTGAACAGGAGGCTGACTGGTGGCCTGGGTAGCTCACACTCCAGCCTGATGACTCCACCTTCAATTTCATCTGTAGAGTAGGGACAGAGCCAATTCCCTCACAATGCTGCCTGGGGATAAGGAAGCCCAAGTCTCAGAGGGCCCGGCACTGTGCTGGGAGAAGCCAGGACCCATCTTGACCGTCTCTGCAGCCACGTCATGCCTCGGATTCCTCCTCCTGTCCTTTGTTCTGATTTCCCATTTTATGAGCCCTCTAGAAATGTCTTTTATGTCATTTCAAATAATTTCTGGAGGCAAGATTTGAATAAATGTGACCTCTGACCACCTCCAAAAGAAAACTCACTAAATCTCTCAAGTGAGAGTGCATCCTCTGTGAACTCAGGGATGGGTGCTTGGAGACGCAACTTTGAACCAAGTAACACTAAATGAGCAGGTCCTGGATAGCACGAGTTCCATCTACTTCAGCCGGTGAAGTAATAAAATTTTGTGCAAGGGCCTCCTGTTGTATTACATTCCAGAGGCTACTCTGCACGTACCCCCAGAGGTCCTGGATGGCCTCGTACAGTCCAGCACCCAGTCAACCCCATGCCAGAGCACCCTGGAGCAGCCAGCGCCTCGCCTGGCCTCCTCAGGCCTCATCTCGCCTGGGTGCTGACGCCCCACTCACAACCTACCTGCAGCAAATACTCAAGCAGATCCTGAGCAGAGTAAGGTTCCAGAGACATGGAAACTACTGAAAAAAATGACTTATGAACTAACAAGAGCAGCAATCCTTAGAAGGGGCGGCAGCTAAAATGCAGACTTTATTTCCCCCAAATTCACAGCACACATGAGCCCCACTCCCCAGTCCTGAGCAGCTCACAGGAGCCACCTGGCAGCCTGCAGCTCGCCCACTCATCCCAACCTGGTTCTCCACAGGTCCTGGGTATGTGGGTGAGTGCTAATTTTTGTGTCTGTTTTAAATATATATTGCCATTAAAAAGGTTTTAAACATCCAGAAAAAAGAAAAAAAAAGAAATCTGCAGGTAATAACAGAAGTACTCGTGCTCTTAAAACCACAAAGACTTAAAATAAGAACAATGCATATTTATGATGGCATGTCGTTATAAATTTTCTAATCTGGCTCTATTAAAGATGTGATAGAAACCAAGCAGCTTGAAAGTTTAAGGATGTGAAAGCCAAATACGTCGCCACTGAAAACTTTTAAAAGCTCACAAACTCATCACTATTTGGTACGGAGCAGTTTACTCCTGAAGATTCTGTCTGTAATGACCAATGAGATAGTTGGGACCGTCAAAACCATCTCTTAGAACGGCAACAAGATGCATGTTTTTGCTCCTCTTCAGATCCACTTTCCTGAGCTGAAAATCCCACCCACGCTGAAGAAGTTTTCCCTACAAGCTGAGCAGCTCTCCATTTCTTCAAAGCCCCGCTGACTGGGAAATCAAGAACACAAATGACAGCCGCTGCCAGGCAGCCGGCGCCCCGGCCTGGGCCACTCAGACGCCAGGTGGCACAAACGTCTGCACAGACCGGGTCTGCACCCCAGGAACGAACCGACCCGGCCCCGCCACCCACACCCCACGTTACAGACAGAAAGCTCCAGCTGCACATGGTTAGAAGTTAGTGTGGCCGCTTCCCGAGTAGATTTTGCTCTCCCAACAAGTTAGGCCTCCCCCGAGCCATGCCCCTGGCAACCTGCTGCCCATCCTAGAAGCACTGAAGCCACGGGAGGATCGCTGATAGGTGGCCAGTTTGAGCTTCCTCAATCACTGAGTTCTTGAGTTTAAAGACACCAGCATTCAGGTGCTTCCAGAAAAGACCTCTGAAATTTTTTAAATGGTACCAAAAGCATCATTAAAGCAGCAAACTACTGTACACCTGAAATGTGTTACCACAACCCATTAAAAAACTTTTTAAAGAAATGACAAACTAAGGCTCTTCAGATCTGCACACCAGATGACTGGCGGTCAACGAAGACCAGGGATGAGCAAGACACTAATAAAATCCTTCAGGCTAGCATTACCACCTCGGCCATGCTCACAACAACTGCTTCTGTCCAAATACAGGACCCCAATCTGCTGTCACTGGGCGATGTCCTTGTGGTGATCCCCACAGTGGCCATTGAGCCATGAAGACGACTCATCCTCTCGGGCGCAGCTTCCCAACCTGCCTGCGCAGCAGAGTCATGGGAGAAGCACTTTTTTAAGACAGATAGGACACATTCATGCAAGGGAATATTCAAGTGCCTGTCACGTGCCAGGCACGACACCAGATAAGAGGAAAACAGTCATGACCGAAAAAGACAAAACCCCTGCCTTCATGGAGCTGAACTTCTAACAGTATGACAACAAAGTTTTTTAAAAAGTATAGGTTAAGTCTCAGCACTATGAACTAGCTGCAGCCACTGCAGCAGGATTTCAATCCCCTGCCCTGGAGCTGACCCACAGGGTGCAGCAGACCTCTCCTGTCCCACCCGCTGCTCCCCTCAGCAGTGTGTTTCAGTAGATCCGCCTGTTCTGCTCCCCTCTCTGTCTCTGCTGAATCTTCTCACCAACCCCCCTACCTCTAGAAGTAGATGTGAGGATAAGACATGTCTCCTTCCCATCTCAAACATTCATTGAGCTTGTAAAATATGTGGGTTCCAGGGACCAAAAGCTCAAGCTCCAAGAATCTGCAGGAACCAGGGCGGCCTGGAATCTACATTATGGAGGAGCTATGGGATGATCTGATCAGAGCTATGGGATGATCTGATCAGCCAGCCCAGCCACGCTGAAACCAGCTGCTGTGAGGTCGTAAAGCCAACCCCACTCCCACCCAATGAGAAGTGCCTGTCCCGTAGGGCCCAAGGGGGAAACCAGACTCTAACTCTGCCAAGGCTCCTGCGGCCACCTGTCTCCAGGGACTACCTGGAGCCTTTCTGCATATCAAGACAAGATCACAGATAACAAAGGGCTGGAAAATAACCAGTCCATCAGCACTGAAGCAACGTCCCTCTGCCCTGGCAAGGACAGGGACGTGGTGCACACAATGAGCAGCTGCAAGTCATCCAAATGATGTTCACCAAGCCATGGTAATCAACGGCCCGGAGGAAGGGGGAGGAAAAAGAACCCTCTGGTGAAACAGTGCTACAATGTGATGACAACCCTGTGGATGGCAGAGACAGCACAGCAGCTGACAGATGAGCCTGGCCTGGAGCTATAATGGACTTGCTCTTTTAAAAGAAGACTTTCAGGCCAACTGAGACAGACCCTTCTGACGGCAGCAGGTGCAGATGCTAATTAAAGGGTAAATTTTACATGTGTTGGGTTCCGAAGGAGTGTCTGTTTCTCTGCTGGTGTCTGCAGCTACACCCCAAGAACTAGGATGGCCATTCCCACCAGCTGTGTTGCATGTGAAACCAAGGGGGTGCAGCGGGGGGTGGCATACATGCATGCACATACACACATGCACGTGTATAAAATCCTGCTTGCATGCTTATGTGGAGGGGGTGTGGGCAGTTAATAGCCCTTTAGAGCTCCACTTCAATTTGTATGGGGTGTCATTAGAGACACGCTGTGCTGGCCACCTCTGAGAAATGTGTCCTTGAGATGCTTGCACTACAATCAGCATGACGGAAAGCACCATGAAAATGCGATGCTACTGGCATCATTATCTGCTCTGCCCAGTGTTCCTGATCTTTGGCATGCGGGAGGTGAGAAGGGATCCTCTATGCACAGTGGCCCCTGGCAGAGATGCTAAATTATTCTTCCTGAAGGACAAGGTGACCAAGAGAAAAAGAGAAGGGCCTTTATTTCAGAAAATATGAATCCCGCCCTGATTCATCCATCTATTCAAAGAATCCTCATTGAGCACTGAATCATCCAGCATCTTGGCAAGAAACAGGCAGCACGCGCAAATGAGGACATTGATCAGTGAAGGGGCTACTTACAAAGGGGTGAATACAGACTAAGGGAATAAACAGGGGGCAGGTAACAGCAGGGGAGCAGGTGACATTCCTTGGCCTGAAAGAGCAAGGATCGGGAGGTTGGCTGTGT